AACCCTGAATTTCAGAGTTAAAAAGTGCCAACCTTAACGCTGATTAGCACGATTAAACTTGATCTGCATGAGACTTCAATTATTCATTAAATTATAATGGCAGACAGAAATCATTTCTTTTCAGGCACATTGTACTACTATATTAAGAGTACATAACACAAAAATCAACGTTTTTTTTCAACACAATGAAAGATAAAATCTGTATTATTAGTTACAGGCGACTAGTTTCGATAACATAATAGACACTAGTCCTGATGATGGTAGCTGTGCTACCGAAACTAGTTTGTTTGTTTTCTAGCAAAGCCACTTTGAGCTATCCGCTGTGTCCACCGCAGGGAACCGACCCCAAATTTTAGCACTGTAACTCTGTAAACTTACCACTGTCTCACCAGGGAACCGGAAACTAGTCGTATAAAACTAATAATAAAGATTTTACCATTCATTGTACCAAAAAACTTTGTTTTTGTGTTTTTACTCTTAACTTGACAAAGATTTTACCAGACGCCTGTCTTTGTTTCTCAAATCATAAATTAAGAACAAAATTATCAATTACAAATGTTTTTTTTAACTATCTTTAAAATACTGATTATTTATAGTGAATGTTTGAAACAGCCAATCAAAAAGCCTTAATTAATGACACTAGAAATTGTCAAAATCTCCATATCATAAGTTTGAAGTATGAATTGCCCTTTTATTTTCATACATTATGATACAGACAGTCATGCTTGCTCTTTTAATTCAAGAAATATAATTACAAAACATGGAGTGACCACTAGCGTTCCTTTATTGAACTACTGGCCATAGGGAAGGCAACCAATCAGCAGCACCCTACCACCCACAATCCACGAAAGGGGATTGACTGCCACTCTTATAACCTTTAAATTACGCTGAATATTTTTATGGTATCGCACGTATTCGAACTTGGCTGTACAGCTCCGAAATCCAGAGCTTTATCAAAGGACCAACCCGTGTATTCGCTCAAAACTATAATCATGGGTTGGTTGAAACTATTTAAGTTTCACTATTTACATAAGCATCTTCACCCCTGCTGCATTGCATAATAAAATATCAAATATCATCGCTTATCCACATTAGAAAGTTTATGGTCAGACCCCAAAGTAAACAAGATGGAATCCTCAATAGCTACGGCACTTGAAATTCTTTTAGGCAGGATTAGAGTAAATTAATCTATGAGACACTTTTCCCTTTAAATTAGCTATATTTTTGTGTGCCAGCAATACCAAGCGTGGGGTGCGCGTATACCCAATTCGGTTTCATTACTCATAAGGATCTCTACCAATCTACCCTCAAATTGAAATTATTTTAAGTAAGATTAGTGGAAATTAATCTATGAGACCTTGGGCATGGTCAATACATCAATCGAAAGAGTTTGACTTCCTGAGTCCAAAAACTGTTATTAGACCCCAAATCGGTCAAGAGATGGCGGAACTATGAGCTAAAACAAACAAACTCTGAGCCATTCCGCAGCCACTATGCCACTGCTAAATATCACGCGAGTCATCACATTTACTAAATCCTTTCTTGGGCCAATTTTCGAATTTTTATTAAAATTATATTTCTCAATCAATCCTAACAATCAAATTTCATACTATCAACGAGTTTTTATAATAGGAGTTTACATTTGGAAAAGATTGAAAGAAATTTGCATCTTATCTTTAATAAAATAGCATTTAGTGCCCGAAATTGAAATATTCATATATAAGTAAGAATTCCACAATCTAAATAACTTAAGGAAACACTTCGAAGATTTTCGAACAGATGACGAAGCACACCAATGTTTATTGCTTGTGCAAAACAGAAACTTGTTATAAAATTGCATATCAGAATGTACAGTTTATGAACTGATAGACTAGCGGGAAGGCAGCTAGTGAGCACCACCCTACCACGTTAATAGCTGTGTGTTACAGTTAGAAGTGTTATCTGAACTCGAATAACGTTGTTGATACCTTACCACGTAATAGTTGTGTGTCCTGTTAATGGAACCCAGATGACACTTTTAACTGTGACACAAAACTATTAACATAATAGGATGTCAACATTGTTAATGGAACCCAGATAACACTTTTAATTGTGACACAAAACTATTAACGTGATAGGGTGTCAACAATGTTAATGGAGTTCAGACGGCACTTTTAACTGTGACACACAACTATTAACATGATAGGATGTCAACAATGTTAATGGAACCCAGATGACACTTTTAATTGGGACACAAAACTATTAACGTGATAGGGTGTCAACAACGTTAGTTGATCTCATATGGCACTTTTAACTGTGACACACAACTATTAGCATGATAGGATGTCAACAATGTTAATGGAACCCAGATGACACTTTTAACTGTGACACAAAACTATTAACATGATAGGATGTCAACATTATAAGGTGTCAACAACGTTAGTGGAGCTCAGATCGTTAACAGTTGTATATAGCAGTTAAAAGTGCCATTTCAACTCTACTAACGTTGTTGACACTCTACAATGTAACTAGTTATGTGCACGGTTAAAAGTGTTATCACAACTCCACCAGAGTTTTGTTCCTCTAAAACCTTAATATACGTTTACTTTTGATAAATAAACATGGTTCAAAAATGTAACCATATAACAGTCCAATTTTTTTATGTTAGTTTATCAAATTTAACTCAAACGAACACTCCACTAAATGTATCCAAAAGCTTAACAACAAACAAACAAACTCTATCGAAACTCGATTTGATCCACCAGAACAAAAACTAGAATAAGCTATTTATTTAATTACGCCTTAGCTATAGTTGATAATTATTAAATTTTTAGTTTATTCCATATTTTAAGTTAAATTAGAATGCTAAAGGGTTTATATTTTATTATGTAATTTATTTATTTATATCTTTATGAATATAATCAGACATTACCAAATGTGTTGGAATTTTGAATTTTTGTTTTTATATTTTCTAAGTTATCTATAAAAAAATGAATAATTGTTTACAACATTTTTACCTTTTTATTATTCTATATATTTAACTTGTATTTTTTATCATTTTAAATCCTACTTTTAAATGTTAATGTTTCCAGGTTGAGGAACTACAAAACCGGTTCTCTAAAAGAGTTGAAATGAAGAATAAAATGACTTGTAGAACTATATATGCTCTGTGAACTATATGTATATATATTTGTTTTTTTAAGAATGTATAAAGGTTTAAGAGTTTTCAAGCACTAAAAATGTAAACAATGCTTGTGTATAATGCATATACAAGTATTCGGAAAAAAATTATGACTAACTAAAAAAGCTATGTAGGGCTGGCTACTGAACTTGAAAAAAGGAACCAAACAAGATAGGGACGGAAGTGGACATATCACTTGATCCGGCTAATGATCACATAGAAGACTAAGCTATCTCAACTTTACATTGAAGACTGTTTTGCTCTATCAAATGATGATAGAATTATAGTTACTGCTAGAACTAGGTAAGCGCTAGGCCTGTTGAAGAAAGATGATGAAAATCGAAAATAAGAAAGCTCGGTTTTGGCTATTCGTCGGTTTTTCAGTTTGGGACGTTCTGGATAGTTTAAAAGTGACATATACACCGGAAATGGAGCAACTATGCCAGGTAGTTCTTCATTTCTAGCTTCTGATCACCTGTAGAGAAGAAAATCCAGATGACTTTTGTATTGCTTTAATACGAGCGTTCGTGCTATCTCTACATAGAAAGTGCTGGCGATATATTTTACGATTGAATAAAAAAGACATGTTGAATTTTCATACATTATAATTTCACAGGATTTACATGTCCTATGATTTACTATAAATAATATATTAGCTTGTTATTTATATTGACAGAACGGAACTTAATATGTATTAGTGGAGGGTTTTAATTTCATATGTATTTGTATCAAGATTATGTCTTAGTATTTGCGGAGCACAGAGATATTAGAAGGTTAATAAAGTAAGGAGGAGCAAGAAAAAAAATGTTTTAATGAGTCATTTCTCCAGCGGATTATATTCGATCGTGATAATCATCAAAGCAATTGAACATAATAAAGTCAAGTACGTCATAAGTATACAAGTATATAAAAGTTCTACAAAAAAGAATATACCACTGCTTGCTTAAATTAAAGTTGATTGACGCTGTCTTTGGGCGGAGCTCTAAGTGTCAGTCATTCAGATAGGCGGAGCTCATCTGACGTCAAACTAGTCGGCATGTGGCGCGTGAATGTTGTATACGCATGTTCAACAAACCGTCTGTCTGTTCTCCTAGTCTCCTATGACCATGAAATGTTTGTTTAGGCCTCAGTTGTGTGGACACAAAGTGGTCGCAGCCTTGTTAAAACATGTGGTCATTCATATTCTTTGCACTTCTGCTGCAAACATAGCCTTGGGCTAAGATGTCTGGACAGCTATCATGTTCACGCGATGCTTCAATCTCGTCACTAGTAAACTTTTTGTTGATTTTAGTATGGCTAGTAATTACGTTGGTTACACCCCAATTGAAGGTAGTCAGCTAGGTATAAAAGACTGGAAGTTGAAAATGAAACAAAGAACGACATACGTTTTACTTGCACACGCGTCAGAAACCTCTATAATAACATCTCTAGGGGTCAGCGAGACTCGAACGTGAGGCTGAGCAGTTTAGTTTCTGCTGTTATTTGGACAGTGTTAAACACTGTCGCATAAAAGAATAGATCTGCCTCGTCTCTTTATGATTTCCGACCAACTCCGCTTGAAAATATCTATCTTGTATATAAGACTCAACTACTACTTTACAGTAAGTTATAAGAAAACAACACATACGTTATATTAACGGTATGCTTAGTACGCGAAACTAGCCTTTAATCTTTGAAATTTAAACACACACATCCCACCCCACCCCCTAAAAAAAACAAGGCGTATGGTCATCGCGAGTACGTTCTTTAGGAAGTCTGAGAAGAAGAATACAAGTTTGACTGACCATTGATTGATATATAAGAAGTCACTGACTGACCAGTTAAATAATAAAGAAATCATCAAATATATTGACCATGTCGTATCCTCAATTTGGTTACTCCTATCACCCATCTCCACAGGTAAGATACTTTATATATATATATATATATATATACACTAAAATATATAATTTTAAAAATAAAGAATAATAGCAAAAACGAAATATTTTATGAATTGTCGCAAAAAAATTATATATAGCTGGTAAGAAAGTAAATATTGTTGACACCTTCCCATTTTCAGGAAAAGAACTTATTTAGACAGATATACGCCATTACAATACACGTGGCTAAACCTTAATGTATCTATAATCAGAGGGTTTCCAAGGTGTCAAATCGAAACATTTTTTGTAAGGTTGAAAAAGTCAAGGTAACTAAACTTCAAGAGATAATAAATACCACTCTCGAAGAAAACGTTAGTATAATTAGAAATCTACACATACAGTTTTTTAAATATTCTATAACTTTAAAAGCACTCCTTCAGAAAGCCTGTAGATCACAAAAATACTTTCCGTATAACACAACCAGAAAGGGAAAAGGTTGAGAAGAGGATGCAATACTCTATGAATATAGTAGTGGTTGACAAAAACAACAAGATTTGTTGTATCTTCCCAACACCTGTCTCGACCTAAAGCTTGAGAGCTTGTGAGATTCTACAAAAATATGTAAGTTCCTTTTCCTCTCCCAGAACCCAACACCCAGGGCCATAATCATCAATAGAGTGGAGAAGAAACACTCATGTGCAACGTTGATCCCACTTCTTACTTAACCAATCGCATTTCAGTCTCGGAAATGTATTACCGTTAAAGTCGATTTGTTATATCAAGCGTTCCAGTGGTGAATGTACATGTACATAGGAATCCATCTTATATACACAGAACTGGTTCCGGACACATGTTTTAGCTAGTACAGTAAGGCAACATGTCCATCTAAATGCTACTGCTTTCCATGATCCACTAGCTTAAAAGTGTAATGCAAGTTCCTGTAATCTTCAAAGTGTTCTGCAGAATTTGTTGTCGAAACAGAAACTTGAATTTTAGCCGTCTCTTGTTCTTTCAAATGACACGTCTGCTATTCTGATACAGAAATTTGCTTCCGATAAAACTGTATACAAACTTAAGTAAAACTGTGTACAAATGAACATAGATATCGACTAAAAGATAGCGAATACTTTATTTTAGAAGCTAAAGTTTTATATTTAAGATATTTGCTATGATATAAATGCACAGTTTGACTCAGAATTAAAGCGTGGAATTTGTTCAGAAAATTTGCTTTATTTCTCAGGCAGTGTAGATGCTCACACTTCGTCATCTTGGGAATGAACTCTTGGATTAAAAAATGGCATCTGTGTGCTGTTTGAAAACTTCAATTTAAACATACAGCAATACTATTCGTTTTGAAATTTACACAAGATTTTTTGAGGCAGTATACGACCTATTTATTGGTTCCTCTGTCTACGCGATTAACGCTAACTGTAAAGTAAAACAACTTTTCAAGAAAATCTGTAGACAGTGTCGGTCTTACGCACAACAAAGACAAACGACTGTTTGTGCTCTCGCATAAGAATATCACTGGCGATTTAAAAATAACATTTAAAAATGTATTTACTATATTTATATTATGCCAAAAATATGTGATTTATAATTTCTTGATATAACACTTAGGCATATAACTTGAGCCTTAATCAAACCATTTTTAGAGGCATAAGTCTCCTAACCCTAAAACTATCCACTTCCTCCCATATTAGAGAGCTATGTGATCTGATTTACCCTGATAGTTGGGGCTTTGCACCAGGTTTCCGGACACCCTGTATAGAAGAAGAGAAAGCCCTAGTAGTACCCAAGATCCCACTATTAATCTTCCAACGTTACGTAGTCCTGTTTCTGTGAAACATAATTAAATATTTTTTTTGGGGGGAGGAGTCGTTATCCACCAATGCCTAATACGTGGATTTAAAAATAACGTGAAAGTATTGGGTTGAGACTCGCCACTATCATCTTTCACATTTCGTGTCTTTGGAACATCTGCAGTAATGTAACGTGAATGATGGTGAAAAACCACATACTAACCAGGGATTCGAACCCGCGACCTTCAGATTGCGAGTCGAGTGCCTTAACCACCTGGCCATGCCGGGCCTATTAATTTCGTGACGACCTAATACAAAAGCCAAGTTAAAGCGCTCAGTATATTCACACTGAGAAAAATAGATTCAACAGTTCTAGACTTACGGTTTTTCTGTAGCTCACCTACAGAACATGTGCAAAAGTGTATTTCCTGACAGCAATCTCTGTCCAGATAACACTCTGTAAAACACAAACTTAAGTGAAAACCCCACTAGTGTCTACAAACATATATTTCACAGCTTCTTTAAACAAAAAAAAGGAAACAGCATTGCATTTACAATGCGTTAAATATCATATTATTTTTGGGGTACTCGATGTGTGTTTATTAAATGAACAAAAGAACAGTTTTCAGACCGATAGAAAACAGTCGAAATATCTTATTAAAGGCATTTCTATCTTATACAGATTACTTTCAGTCACCGTGGCATCATACATAACTGAGCCATGATGATCAAAAACTTTAGAGAACTTAATCATTTCATCAAGTTTCATTCAAGTTTTAAAATATTTGGAATAATAACGAATCAAAAACCTCCCGCTATTCACATATTATTTTGACTATATCATTCGTATTAACAAACTAACAACCATCTAGTTTCATTGGTTCATCTAACAACCATATAGGTTTTATTGGTTCATCTAACAACCATATAGGTTTTATTGGTTCAATTAACAACCACATAGGTTTTATTGGTTCAATTAACAACCACATAGGTTTTATTGGTTCAATTAACAACCACATAGGTTTCATTACTTCGACAAATAATTCCATAGGTTTCATTACTTCAATTAACAACCAACATAGAGGGCAAGTAGCTGGTCAACACCACTCACCGTCAACTTTTGGGCTACGCTTTACAAACGAATAGTGGGATTGATCGTCACATTATAATGACCTCACAATTGAAAGTGCGAGCATATTCGGTGATGGGATTTGAACCTGCGAGTAGATCGCCCTAACCACCAGGCCATGCCAAGCCTAAGTTCTTAGAGGATTAATGTATAGATGACTCGCTCTGTCCTAATGCTTTACTAAACCTTACCAAAACATATATAATGACAAAATATAATATCAAATTATTATAAATAGCGTCTGTAACCTTATATCAGTTCATATTAAACATTCAGTACTTGGTTGGTCCTCCTCGTACTCTAATAACCTCCGCAAGGCAACGTGGCATGTTGTCATTGAGGTTATTGATGTAATCCACTGTCATCCCAACTTGTTACTAGAAGGTGCTTCAACTCAGCTACAGTAGATGGTTTAGGGTCGTGGTTATCAATTTTCTAACTCAGTTTTGCCCCACTGTTCTCAATGGTATTGTAATCTGGAGATTTTGCTGATCGTGGTAATCTTGTAATGTCCTCCTGGTCGAGATAATCCTAAAAAATTTGCGCACTATGGGCAATGGCATCGTCGTCATGGAACACAATGTTATTTCCAAACCTTGCCCTAGCATATGGCAGAAATATCGTCTCCATGTGATGCCTGTAGAAGACACCACTGACTTTTCCCTAGAAGATATGAAGAGCAGTTTTTCCACCATGATGAATAGCTGTCCAAACATGTACTGCACCACCTCCTGTGTGTCTCTATCTTTCCTCATCTGTTCTCCAGCAAACGACGAATATGAATCCTGGCATCACCTTTAACAAGCCAAAAACAGGACTCATCCGAAAAGATGGCATGTCGCCAGTGTCCTAACTGTAACTTGGCAAGCTGTCTTGTCCAATTAACAAAGTGACGGCGGTGAATTCTGGTTAATATCACTGCTCTTCTTGATACCCTGGAATGATTGTGTTCATGCCATTCATGTCATAAGGTGTTGCAAGACTTCTTTCTACCTTGACATGTTAACCTGATTAAAACACGGTCTTCTAGGGCAGTAGTTTTTGGCGTCTACCAGTAGACTTTCCTGGAATATCGTTTCCTGTATTCCGATGATATTTCAGGATTCTGGATACAGTACACTGGGGGCAATCTACTGTTCTGGTATTGTCCGTTTGATTCATACCATTTCTGGACAGTCGAACAATTTGACGCCTTCCAACTTCACGTGACGAGGTCTGATTCTACAACAAGTACAGATAAATTGTCTGAACAAAATGTTGACCTGTTCCGAAAAAGATTATACCAAAAACACACTCTATTATACAAAACAGGTGTGTATGTATGTTTTAACGAACAAATGCTCAAAACAACTTATACAGACCAGACTAACAACATTTACACGCTTGTCCGATCATACGCTACCTTCTCTGTTACTATTCAGGTATTTACCCCATAACTACCCCATGCATATAGACAATAACATCAATATAGAGCAGTATGCAAACATTTTGGCAAAGACTGTATAACGGAACTGCAGGCGAAATACACGTTTTTCTCATGTTTGACTTTCGACCCCCTAAAATAAGAACGGTGGACTAAATAAACAAAATGAGAGAAAAAAATTCTGGGCGTATTGGACAAAGGTTTATAACTTATAAAATGGTTCTCAAAGTGTAGTTCGTGGACTACTGGTAGTGCGCGGGCTTGGTTAAAAATGCACGTCACTGACACGCAATGCCACGGTCGAGGCCATGAGAGAGAATGGAAGAAATGGGGTAAAACCAGTAGGTATTTTACCCCACCAAAGCGGTCTGCAGGCGAAAAAGCTTGAGAATCACTGTCATAGAAGTTTCAAGATGATTGACTAAGAAATATAGGGGTGGTGCACAACAGTAAATGTTGTAAAAAAAAGAAAGAAATATGTCTCTCTCTCAATGGGAGAGACATAACCAGCCACAGGTTCGAGCTGTTATCAGTTAGCATCAATACGTGTGGATAATTTATTACGTAATCCTCATATTATAGCAAGATGAAATGAAGTTTTGTGATTTATATAAAAAGTGTGACTCGCTAGAAACTGTCAGCACTTGTTTTCAGATAAAAGTTTAAAGTTAAACACGTCTAAATGA